GTGTATGGCATCGTGCCTTAAGGCAAATTGCTGGAACTTCTCGTACCACAATAAAATATTCGAGCAAAAAAATAATAATCAATAAATTTTGATCAATGATTAATAACAATTGTTTTAATATTTTCAAAGAGATAATTATAATTACTATATATTTTTTCCTTCATATAATATACAGTGACAATCTTATCGCTCAAAACACTTGAAAATGTTTACATTAACAAGAGATGCGGAATGAATCCAACTGAGGATGTATTTCTTACGAGTAGAATAACGCATATGAAATGAATACATTTTTAAACTGAATTGTAAATTTAAAATTGATATTTGAATTGATTTACGTAAAGTAAAGTTTTTTTTCTTGAAGATTTTGATATTTATTTGAACCGTATGAGTGAACTTTAAAAATTAAAGATCTTGGTACGGAACTCAAAAAAGTGGTAACATTTTTTTTCTTATTATTAAATTATCTAAATTATCTATAAAATATCTGATAGTATGATGTGCATATGTCTAATGATCATTTTTGACCGCCAAATGTTTATTCTTTAAGTTTTGTGTTAGATTTCCGAAAACGCTAGACCTGCCTTTCCAAAAGTTTAATCAATTCTTCACCATGTCAATACAAGTAAAATGATTTTTGAATTATTAAAATCGGATGCTCGGTTCTCTCAAAAGCTCGATTTGTATTTTCTGCACTCTTTGTTTCGTATCTCCGTAACGGCTGGACCTGCCTTTGCCAAAAACTAATCAGCACATCTCCCTATGAATAGGAATCGAATGTTTCTTGAACCATTCAAATCGGTTGGACGAAAAATTGTATCCATACACATACACACACAAATCCATTTTTTCTGAGATATGCCAAAATGTTCAGAAACCTCTGAAACGTGAAGGTATGCAAAAATTTTCATTTTATATTTTTGGACGATTACAATAACTTACTCTACGGGAAGTTAATAAAATATTTTTGAATTTTTTGTTTGAAAATTTTGAAATTTGTTTTCAAATGTTTGGGATCCTATATGTCGGAATAGTCATACTGTCGAAAACATTTAGTAAAGAAAGAAGAAAAATTTAATATAGAACGAATGTCAGTCATATATGTGTGACATATAAAATAGTGTTGACAAAAGTTTTTTCGATTCATTAAAGGACCGATTCTGCCGCATAATAGACCAATGTTATGGCAAGGCCATGTTATGAAAAACTTTTCATACAAAATATTCACAAAGGCCATGCAGTCAGGCGTAATTCTCAGGTTGTCAGATAGAAAATTTAATCTAGAAACCGCACAAATGTCGCAAAAACTATGTTAGATAACAGGGTCTTTCTGACCCAGCTTCATAACATACGAGTGACGTTGCAGTTTATGCGTAAAACGCCTGAAGGCACAGCAAATGCATGACATTTTGACAGTATTCAGTATGATTCAGTAGCATATTGTATGTAAGTTATAGCGTAACATGGCCTCTCCATAACATTTATCTGTTATGCAGCGCCTAAGTTCCCTGGATACATTTTCAAGTAAATTATCTAGCAAATGTTTCTGATATCGTGGCGATTTACCTGATTAATCCATTTTTTTTCTCCAGTAGTTCTCAATCTTTTATCCATTTTCCCACGATTTCACAGCCTTTGTACAGTATTTTCTCTCATATCGAACGCCTGCGCACTTTCATGAATTCGTTTCTTATCGAATATTGTGTATTTGGAGCAGCACACCATATACGATATATAATATGTAGTTTTACTTTTCAGTTCTCTCCGTACACTTCGTGTTCTGTTGATAAATTCTCAGTTTTCGAATACCTGTTGAATGATTGTGCCTAAAAACGAGAATTTAAATTTTTCACATTTTTTTCTAATAAGTAATTGAGATTTTAGAGATTTAGTATGTTACCTCCACCAGGAACAGTTCGGTTGATGCATTTGCGGTGACAACAGTGTTTTGTTGATTGTGTAAAAATTAATTATAAATTTTAAGTGATGATAAGTAATATATGCTAAATACATAATATAAATATAAAATTAATATAAAAATTATAAGTAAATCAATTTATCTCTAGAACATTAACAATCCTCATTTCATTTCGAATTCAATTTCAAAAAAATTGTTTAGTTGCCTTAATTTGCACAAAATTGAAAAAGTGCTCCCGTACAGTCACAGTCTAAACGCACTTGCAAATAATTCTGTGCGACATTTTCACTTATACTGTGCTTAGCTTGGCGGCATTTTCACATTTTTCAATAGTTTTCACAAAATTGGAAAAGTGCTCCAGTACTTAAACAGTCTAAACGCACTTGGGTAAACATTTGTACCAGAGTGGCGCTTAGACTGTGCTTAGCCTGAGTAATTTTTTGAATTTTCAATCCAAAATTACAAAAATATTATATGGAAAATAGAAAAAGATGTAATAATTTTTTATCCTCAAAAGCAATTGTTTTGTCAATATAAGCAGAAAGTTTTTTAGATCATTCAAATCGGATAATCCGTTCTGTCTCCGTAACGGTTAGACCTGCCTTGCCAAAACCTAAGCTTTTAACCTAAGTTTTTTAACCAATGTGTGTATGTGTGTTTATATTTATTTATAAACTCTGCATTAAAATTATGCGAGCGTGAAAATTGTGCTAGAAATATGAGAGTAGAAATTCTCCAAGCAATTACTCTTCAAAGTTTTATTATTTCAGTTCGATAATAAAAGTCGAAGTGATAAAACATTTTAGTGTGATTTTGTACTGGAATTTATTTTGAAACATTTCTAAATATCTAATTTTATAATAAACACTCAATAGTTAGTTTGATACCTGATAATTAATTACAAATATAATTAAAACTAGTGGTGTATGACATCGTGCCTTTAGGCAAATTGCTGGAACTTCCCGTACCGTAATGAAATATTCAAACATTTTAAACGCTTTCAAATATATTATTACAAATACTGTAATTGTTTTATTATTTTCGCTATCATGTTATATCTGAGCAAATCAAATGTAAATCATGAATCAAATTATCTCAAGAACATTAATAATCGTCATTTCATTTCGAATTCAATTTCAAAAAAAAATAGTTGCTATATCATATAATATATATATATATATATATATATACTATATGAGATATATATTATATATATTATATATATATTATATTTTTCTCTCGTATATATATATATGTTTATTACAATCGATAAACCTGCGGCAGTTTGCCATATATAGCTGGAAATCTTATCAAATATTGTTCCAAAATATTTCACAATTTAACTTTTATATAATGAGTCACACGAATGTTTAATTAACAAAATCTCAATTCTTCGAACAGTGTTTGTTTATAATATTTAAACAGCACATTTAAACGTGATTGTGTTTATAATTACTTTACCATAATTACTTTAGTCGCAATAACAGAAATTATATTTCAGTTTATATAATTCATAGAAATATGAGATAAGGTCCTTCGATTTTAACTCCGCTTGATTGTGTTTTTTTATTTTATTAACTTCCCGTAGTGTAAGTTATTGTAATCGTCCAAAAATTTAAATTGAAAATTTTTGCATTTCTCGACGTTTTGAAGGTTTCTGAACATTTTGGCATACCTCAGAAAAAAATGGATGTGTGTGTGTGTGTTTTGTACACACACGGATCAACCGATTTGAATGATTCAAAAAACATTCGATTTCTATTGACAGGAAGATGTGCTTATTAGTTTTTGGCAAAGGCAAGTCCAGCGGTTACGGAGATAAAGAGCAAAGAGTGCAGAAAATAGAAATCGAGTTTTTGAGAGAACGGGAGCATCCGCTTTGAATGATCTAAAAAACATTCAAGTGGTTGTTAGTTTTTGGCAAAGACAGGTCCCGCCATTTCGAAGATACAGAGCTAAATGTGCAAAAAATGGCAGTTTTTGAGTGCACTAGGCGTCCGATTTGAATGGTCTAAAAAACTTTCTGCTTCTTATTTCATTTACCATACAATATTTTTGTAATTTTGGATTAATAAATTCAAAAAAATTCCCGGGCTAAGCACAGTCTAAGCGCCACTCTGGTACAAATGTTTACCCAAGTGCGTTTAGACTGTTTATGTACTAGAGCGCTTTTCCAATTTTGTGTGAAAACTATTGAAAAATGTGAAAAAGCCGCCAAGCTAAGCACAGTATAAGTGAAAATGTCGCACAGAATTATTTGCAAATGCGTTTAGACTGTGGCTGTATAGAAGCACTTTTTCAATTTTGTGCAAATTAGGCAACTATTTTTTTGAAATTAAATTCGAAATGAAATGACGATTGTTAATGTTTTGGAGATAAATTGATTTATTCATGATTTACATTTGATTTGCTCAGATATAACAAGATTGCAAGAATAATGAAAGTTACAGTATTTGTAATAATATATTTGAAAACATTAAATATTCCTCGATCATTTGGTTACGGTACGGGAAGTTCTAGCAATTTGCCTTTAGGCACGATGCCATACACAAACACTAGTTTATTTCTTAATCGGATAACAAATACTGGCAGCTTTTTGCGGAGAACATTCTCTTATGATTAAACAATTACAAATTTGTTTAAATAAAATTATACTAAAACTTTAAAGATAATTAATTTTTTTGCAATACAAATTTGTAGGTAGAATCTACAAATTAGCATTAAATCCTGACTTCAATCTACTATTTAGATCCTAATTTTAATGTGACTGTCGTGCTCGCTGATTTACCAAAAACTAAGTTTACCGACTGAAAAACTTTTTAAAATTATAATGGTGATCATGTTAAGTGACAGTGACAATAATGTTGGTTTCACCAAGTCACCAGTTGGTGCTCGGAGAACCAAAACAGACATCCATTTACCAGATTGTGCCATCACACGTCAAAGAAACGGAGGCTCTTTTAGGTCGAAAACCCTTGAAAGGTTAAAAATTAGGAACCAGAACTATATAAACAACTTGCTTCAAATCTAAATCACAACACTTCCAATTCACATAACTAATATATCCTTTATCTTTACCTAGGAGTTCTCAGTCCCAGCAACCTGCTTCGGTACAGCCTCCAGCTCGGACGGCGCGCCTCCTGCAAAGGGCGCGCGCCAGTCCTCCACCAGGGGTCAGAAGAACCCCGATATTCAGACCACCGCCGCACCAGGGATCACCAACCCACCAGACCACAAATGGATGTCCTCCAACCGATATGGAGGACGGCGGAGCCTGGATTGACAGGAGTACACATAACGCCATCATGCAGGACGTTGTTGGCATCAAGACAATGCTGCTCAAGCTGAAGAGGGTTTTACATGAGGTGAGGATAAGTGGATTTATGAATAAGTTTTTTATTATAATAATTACATTTTTTTTTCCTAGACTGAGACCATGAATCCCTTCGATCGTCATTTAAATTCTCCAAGGCATTCGGCTGATAGTGGTATGGGAGCCTCCAGTGCCTCCAATGGAGATTCCTTGGAGATGGCGGACCTGAAGAGACAGGTTGTTTTTCTGCAGGTACTTGGCATTTTGAATTTGCATTTGGTAATTGATATAATAGTAATTTCAGACAGTTTTGTAATGCAAATGGAGTCAATGATTTTTCACAAATTTTGGTTGTTATATAACATTAGAGTGGTCCTTAACATATGGACATTTTCGAATTTCCTTGCTCCCAAGGGCTCAAATGCTTCCAAATAAATAAAGTAAAATCCTCTAAAAATTTCAGCTCTTAACAATAACATTTATATAGTCCGCAATTCAATTAAAAGTTTTGTATATTTATTATTAAGTAAATTCTTGCGCCATGTGATCGCATTTGTGAACACAAATATTATGACACTTAAAAATATTTATAAATCACTTAACTTCTAATTAAATCCATGTAGTTTGTTCAACAAAATATTTAATAAAATTCATTTTTTGCAGCAGAATATTTATTACTCAAATTATCAGTAAAAATTTGCCATTGAAATTACAAGTCTGCCACCACAGATGGAGCAAGGATTTACTTAATGACATATGTTAATAATGAAAATGCGAAACTTTTAATTAAATTGCGGACTATCTAAATATTAATATTACGAGCTAAAACTTTCAGAGAATTTTTTTGTCGATTTGGAAGCGTTTGAGCCCTTGGGAGCATAGAAATTCGTAAATGTCCATATTAAGGACCACTCTAATGTAAAATATATTAATTTTTATTGTAGAACGCGTCAAATTCATTTTTGGATCGCGAAACAAGAAAATTTGGTCCTTATATTTTGTTTTTTTATATTGGAACAAGGAGTATTCCTAATTTAAATTTTTCTGAAGTATTTTACATCATGTGGCTGTTTTTTCTCCTATTCATTAAAAATACATAAATGAAATTTTTAAAAATTTAAATCGATTTTTCTTTGTGTTATTATTTCTTTTTAAGTCTTATTAGTTAAGTTAGATTTTTTGATCAGATCTTAATTTGATGAATAGTGATAATTACGTAACTGTCTGATGTTCCTGGTATTTGTAAGTTTTATGTTAAGTAGATTTTTGAAGTAAAACTTCTTTAGGCGCGATATGGGTGTAAAAATTTTTAGGCGCGACACGGGTGTAAATCCGTACAAATGCAACGAAAATGCCAACGTGAAGTTGAACACTACGACGCCGTAAGCGCTGATGTCGCGAGTATCCACTCCCGTCATGTCATGCGCAAGTCGAGCGCTAAACCCTATATGAACTTGCATTAATTGAATCACGTTTTTTTACAAAAGAAGAGGTTACTGTATTATGTCCTCATGGAATAAGACTTTTCTTAGAGAATAAATGTATCATGGAATATAATAAATTTATACTGAATCTCGTTGAAGACACAATAATATGATATTTATGTAGGTTGCCATGCGACAGATCAACAATCATACATTCGTCAGCAGTTTCACAAAAATCGGTTATTGATACCGGGGGTTTGCCGTATGAAATAATTTTAGTTCTGAATAAATTTTACATAATAACAACTAATATTGATGTAAGTGATGGCTTAACTAATGGTTGTGTAGGAAAATTAATGTACATAGAACGTGGCGATAATGATGAACTTCTACGTTTATGGTTTGAATTTCCTGGTAAGATAGGTAACAAAATAAGAAAAAAGCTGCACATCATATTCAAACTCTTAATATCAGTAGGACAGCTGTGCCGATTCTCAGGAAATCTTCATCTATTCCAATGAATAGAATAAAATCATATTTGTCAAAAGAAATCATTTTCCTTTAGTGTCTGCTTGTGCACTCACAATACACAAATCACAAGGTGGTACTTTTGATAAAATTGTATATGAATACAATAAAACACATAATCAGCAGCTTCTATATGTTGCATTATCACGAGTTACCAGCATTAATGGATTGTTCATCATTTCTAAAACAACGACAAAAAATTTTATAATGGAAGAAAACGGCCAGCAGGATTAATGGACTTAAAAACTGAATTCCAAAGACTTTCAACTTGTAGATTAATAACACAAGAAGAAAAATTGAGTGAGATAATAAGTTTGAACGACATTTCATTGTTTTCCTTTAACTGCCAAAGTTTACGAGCTCATTTGCCTGATCTGCAAGATAAAGTGCTACAACGTTGTACGTTTTTGTTATTTTCGGAAACTTTGGATTAATAATGAAGAACGAATTAATATTCAGAACTATTACTGCGTTACTCAATACAAACGATCAACACAAGAGCAGGTGGTGTAGCTGTCTAATGTCTATCATTCATGTTCAGATACTGTTCATAATGCCACTCCTATGCAGTTTCTTGCGCCAACGATATTACTGGATATTCTTAATGAAATACACAAGTAGGTGATATTACACACACAGAATCAAACATTAATTATAGTCGTCCTTTAATTTCTCCCAATAAAAACGTATCAAATATTATTAAATTTCTTCATCAGCAGTTACTTCATTTTTCTAATGAGGGTGCAAAACTTTTAAACACTAATCACAACGAGATACCATTAATTCTTGCTGGAGATTTCAATGTCAATTTTCGTTCAGAAGAATCTCAACCATTAATTGATTTTTCAAATAATAAATTCAATTTAACAATGAATAATTCTCCATTTGATTCAACCACAAGATATGGCTCGACTATTGATGCAGTTTTCTCAGAAATGTACATAGTTTACAAAGCAAAATTTATATCTCTCATTTTAGTTATCACAAAACCTATTATATCATATATGAAATATGATAGCAAAAATCTATCGTTGTTGTTTTAAACTGTGTTATTGATGTTATGTGATTATTAATAGATGATTTTTAAAATTCAAATATGATGTTTTTTTATTTTTATCTTAATTGCCTACTCATACAATATTAAAAGTTTTACTTCAATCGCGTGTGATCCTTACGCGCACTCTTTTTTTTTTATATATTTTTGGGGAAATTCTACCTTATAACATAGCGTTGTCATGTCAACACTATTTCATGCTTGTTTATTGATAGTGAAAACTACAAAAATGTCTATCTATTTGCTGTGCGATCAGGCGTATTTCACATATAAACAAGCAAGGAAGAATGTTATGATAACTGCATCATCGAATATTCTGTTATCATGATACTCTTCCAGAGACATTTCCCGGCGTTGCCATGACAACGTTATGTTATGATGCAGAATAGCCTCATTAGCCTAGTTTAGTAATGTAGTTTTATTTAATTAATTAGGATTTTTTTAATAAATTTGTCATTTTTTTAAATTCGTATCCAGGAAGGAGATGTATTGACAGCTCGATTTCGACTTGATTGCGAACCGATAAACAAAAATGAAAATTTATGGTTTATTATAACTGTAATTATTCAACAGGTACCAGGATAAGGAATTTGGATTTATGAGTGGTTTTGCAATTTTTTGCCAATGAGAGAATGTCTATAACTTCATACGCTAATTTTGCTAATATAATATTAATTGCATGGAGTTGGATTATAAAAATGTTCGAGAAGCATGAGTATTAACATAAAATTTGGTCCAATTTAAAATTATGCCAAAAAGTTTTTATAATTAAGTGGCCAATTTTGTTGTAACATGGACGATAACAAAGCGTTGTTATGGCAACGCTATTTTATCCTTCTTTCTTGGAACATTGTTTATATGTAAAATACGCTTGATCGTACAGCCAATAGACATTTACCATTTACTACCAAGAAAGAAGAAAAAGATAAAGATAGCGTTGCCATAACAACGCTATGTTATCGCAAAATTGTCCCCTAAATGTTATTGCAGGCTTAAATTAGGACTTTAATGTTTCAAAATCAAATGGCTTGTTAGGAAAATCCATATTGTCCTCTTGTTTTATATTTATTACCTATAATAACTTTCTTCTTATATTTTTTTGACTAACCTAAAGAGTGTAAAATTAGATTTTTTAAGTACTTAATTATTTAATTTTCATTTTTTCAGACCCAATTGGAAGACAAAGAACGAACCGTGCAACTGCTGCAGCTGCAGATGACCAAGTACTCACAAAATAGAACCAATGGGTTGCAAGGTAACCAAAATCAGAACCAGGTTCTGTCCAATTTACCTATTAATGGCGTTTCTGAAGATAAAGCAGTGAATGCTGCCACACAAACCGAAAGGGTAAGAAAATCTTATATATATATATATATATATATATATATATATATATATAGTTCCATGAAAAATCACTGTTCATAGCCCATTCTTGTCTTATCACTCATGTCTTAACAGTATCATTTTTTGGAACGTGATGCTGTTCTTGAGTCATTTGCAATAAAGATAATTTTAACTTTATAGAATTCTTCTAAATTATCCTTGACCAAAAAATCTTCACATCAAAATAGTGTATGATTTCCTTGAATGTTAATATTCTGTTCTGGGTGTATTTCTATTATCACATACGAAATAAGAATCATATCCTGAAGTTTTTCTGATTTTATGAAACTGTTTTTTTTTTTTTACCGTATTAAATTTGCATTTTTTTTAAATAAGACCAAAAATATTGAACTTTTAGTTGAGACCAATGTCTACTGGCCCGACTACATATCAACAACTAGGAGAAGCGAATGGATTATTGAGGTAATTTCAGTACAAAAAAAATTAGTTTGGTGGTATTAACAATTTGTGTAGATTGTAGATGTATTTAACATTTAATTTACTAACCCCTAAAAATCTAACACAATCCTTTCTGTATGTAGACTTCGAAGGAAAGTGAAATGACCTGGTAACGAATGAAATAAATGACATTCAAACATTTTTGTCAAAAGTACTAACAATAAGTTCAACTAAACCTGCGTTTTAAAAAATAAATAACGATTTTTTATAACAATATTTAATTACACAATTTTGCATCAACCAATGAGTTTTCAACTTTAACATGATAATTAATATCAACAATTTTAATTATTCAATTGTTACTAACAAAATGCGTTTTTGACTAAATTTTTACTTATTAACCTTATATTTTTTTCAAAATTTGAGTTTTTTTTTATTTTTCCCTAGGTACTGCGATCGCTACAATCAGTTGTTGTGTAGTATATTTTTCAAAAATTACGATTTTAAACATTTTTGGATCAGTTTTTCCCAAAATTTGAAAACAGTTTTTAGAGGACATTGGATATTTTAATAATCAGTTATTTAGATTTTATTTTAACGTTAAATTTGTTATGTTATTTATACTACTATGGTTTGTTGTGGGTTATAAATTACCAAAAAATTAAACATGTTATTAATAAATTAAACAAAAATACAAAAAATAAAAACATGTTGCATAACAAAATTTCTGTTAGTATTTCTTCTTAATTTGGAATAACGAGATACAAGGACCAATTTTGCGGTAAAATAGACGATAACATTGCGTTGTTATGGCAACTGGAAAGAATGTTGTCGTAACTGCATCAATAACTAGTGGTGTATGGCATCGTGCCTTAAAGCAAATTGCTGGAACTTCCCGTACCGTAATGAAATATTCGAGAAATTTTAGACGTTTTCAAATATATTATTACAAATACTGTAACTTACATTATTTTTGCTATCTTGTTTTATATCTGAGCAAATCAAATATAAATCATAAATCAATTTATTCTCTCGTAAACATTAACAATCGTCATTTCATTTCGAATTCAATTTCAAAAAAAAAAAAAAATAGTTGCCTCTAATTTACACAAAATTGAAAAAGTGCTCCTATAGTCACAGTATAAACGCATTTGCGAATAATTCTATGCGACATTTTCACTTATACCTTTCTCACCTTGGCGGCATTTTCACATTTTTTAATAGTTTTCACAAAATTGGAAAAGTGCTCCTACATAAACAGTCTAAACGCACTTGGATAAACATTTGTGAAAAACAACCAGAGTGGGGCTTGGGCTGTGCTTAGCCTGTGTATTTTTTAAATTTTTTTTAAATCCAAAATTACATAATTATTTTATGGAAAATAAAAAAAGATGTAATAATTTTTTATCCTCAAAAGCAATTGTTTTGTCCATACGAACAGAAAGTTTTTTAGATCATTCAAATCGGACGATACTCCGTTCTCTCAAAAACTCGATTTGTATTTTCTGCACTCTTTGCTCTGTATCTCCGTAACGGCTGGGCCTGCCTTTGCCAAAAACTAATCAGCACATCTCCCTAGCATAGGGATCAAATGGTAAATGAATCATTTAAATCGGTTGATCCGTGCGCCCGAAAACGTGGACGAAATATTGTATTCATACATACATACACACACACATCCGTTTAGTTTCTGAGGCATGCCAATAAAATGTTCAGAAACCTTCAAAACGTCGAGAAATGCAAAAATTTTCATTTTCGATTTTCGGCCCATTACTATAACTACCCTACGGGCAGTTAATAACTTACGGTACAATGCGCTTGATAGTACAGTAAATAGATAGACATTTTTACAGTTTTTAGTACCAAGAAAGAAGTATAAGAGTTGCCATAACAACGCTTTGTTATCGTCTATTTTATCGCAGATTTGGCCCCATAGCTTTAGGATAGAAAAGTCATGACTACGACTATTCTGTTGTATTAAACAAAATGTGCCATCAATTTTATGTTTTACAACTATAACATTTGCTCTTAAAAATATATACCAATTAAATAAAAATATAAACAATTATACAAACTCAAACTTTGTTCAATAATTTTTTTACTACCTTTATTCTAAATCGACTCCAATACAATTTTTACGCCGCATTTTTCTTCTCCTCGGATTTGGACTTTTTGAATCATTGGTGTCCACGATGTGATTTTCGATGGGTCCACATTTGTCACAGAGTGCGAATTGGCCAGGTAGATTTGTGCGACTGTTTGCTGGCCGTGTGCCTGTTGTGTGCCATCAATGTCATGTGCTTTTTGCAGATCATGCATGCCTGCTCTTATTGTCAGAAGGGCTGTAGTTAGTCGAAATAATAAAGAATAATTTATTTTGTAACTAAAATGCATTTTAAAGTAGCATTTGTTTAATGATGTTGAAGATGCACCTCAATGTTGTAACATAAATTTTAGCTTACTATCTAATTTCTGTGTGGGGTGCACCTTTGATATCAAAATTTGTGACGCATGAATTGACATAAAAATATATTAACACGTTGACCGCCACGATAATATCGGAATATTTCACATGGGCCATGGTAACTTTACTACATAATTTAGTTAAAAATGTAAATTTTCATCTTTTTTTACCAAATTTCATATGTCAGGCATACATGTTTGACGTAGTTTGTCTAGGAATTTCAAGCGTCCCATATTAAAACTTTTTTCCTTTTACCAAATATCAGAGAACATATTAGCGTCAGACATATATGACTGATATGGCGACCAAGATGCTAAAGTCGTGTTTTCCAAAGTTTTTTTTGGCAAAATTCCTGGTAAAACACTATTTTCATATACATGGTCCCGTATTAAAACTTTTTTCTCCTATTATCAAATTGTGTGTGTCAGACATATGTATCTGATATGGTTCATGTTGAATTTCTGATCGTCAAATACATATAACTGACATGGTATTAATGTAGTTTTTTCAGCGTTTTTCGCCAAAATTCCTGGTAAAACGTTATTTTTCATATATAAAACTTTTTTCTTCTATTACCAAATGGCGTATGTCAGACATATGTATCTGACAAATCTCATGTGAAACTTTTTAGCGTTTGATATGACTGACATAGCGATTAAGGTGTTAAAATAAGTTTTTCAAAGTTTTTTTGCCTAAATTCCTGGTAAAATACTATTTTTTACATAACATAGTCCCATATTAAAACTCTATTCTCCTTCTACCAAATTGCGTATGTCAGACATATGTATCTGACAAATGGTTCATGTTGAATTTTTTAGCGTCAAACACATGGACTAACATGGCGATTAAGTAGTTCCAGCGTTTTTTGTTAAAATTTCTGTAAAAACACAATTTTTTGTCACACATATATGACTGACACGGCCCTATGTCATTAATATCAAATATATTAAAAGAAAACGTTTCACGATTTTAACCGCATTTAGTGCATTTTTGTGCAAATATTTAGACATATTAAAAATTGAAACAATGCATTTTTTGCACAAATTAATATCTACTAAAAATTTAATTAGTAATAGAATTATTAGTCATAGAATAATTCACAAGAATTCGAATTAATATGTAAATTTTATTGTTTTGAAAATAATAAAAAGCAATTTTTATTAATTCAAATTTTGTAAAATCTTTTATTTTGTCCTACAATGATCAAATTTATTAAAACTATATTGTATGAAAAAAACAACCTTAAATAAATAAGAATAATAAACTTTAGTCCAAATTAATCTCTGTCAACAATTTTGCCATTATTTATTCATATCAAAAATGACAAAAAATAATACAATTTAAAATAATATTATATTGTAGGTAGTTGTTTATTAAAAATTAATAAGTGGTTTCTAGAAAAAAGTTTTAAAATAAAATTCGTAGCTTTATTGAAAAGAATTTTGTATACGTGCCTTTTTGCTGATTTAAATTATTAATATTTATTGATGTTATGCAAAAATTAATAAAATTTAAAGTTGTTAAAAATACTTTACAATTATTATATTACTAAAAATAAATTAATTATATTATAAAATCTAAATGTTTTAATAGAGTAATAATTTCGAAGAACAAAATTTTAAGATTTATTAAGAA